GCCAAGGCTCTCGAGCACGATTTGGCTCATTACCAATCGCCACCTTCGGCTCATCACCGCGCTATTTCATACGTGGCGAGGGATCGCGCAAGCCGGAGAAATCGCAGGGCGCGGGGAATACGTAATGAACAATTGTGATGCGGCTCGAATCGAATCGGCGTGAATCGCGGAAATTGGGGGAGTGGCGGCCGAGATTCACTGAATAGTCGCCCGTTTCCTCGTCCTTCCTGATCCTTAAGAAGCCACAAAGGAACGTCGTAATCGCTTTTCGCTCTAATTAACCCTACGAGTGAAACTCGCGAGGACATTCATCCCTCGAGCGTGACAAAATATACACATGTTGAAAATGAATATAAAAGATTCAGGGGATTCCACTTTCATCTCTCTCTCTCTCTCTCTCTCTCTCTCTCTCTCTCTCTCTCTCTCTCTCTCTCTCTCTCTCTCTCTCTCTCTCTCTCTCTCTCCCTCTCCCTCTCCCTCTCCCTCTCCCTCTCCCTCTCCCTCTCTCTCTCTCTCTCTTTCGAAGAGGAAACAGAGGAACCGATTTCGGAATCATTACAGGTCCATAAACCAACGAATTCCGAGATCGGGAAATAATTCGCACAGGGTCCTTCATCCTCGAGATAAAATATTTGCTTAATTGGATCTTTGATTGCGCTCAGTAAGGGAAAGTCTGCACCTTTCACGAAGATTACGTTTCTAAGGTATCTTTCATTAACTCTGGAATATTCTGTATTTATCTGCCCATTTATCCATGTAGCTGCCTATCTACATGTCTAGCTATCTATTTATCTGTCCATCTCTGTATATCTACATGACGCTTCAGGTTCTACTATGATGGACGTCGGTGTCGGGCTTCGTCGCACGACATCGGCGCGGCGTCCGAAAAGCGTCATGAGACTCCCGCCACAAAAGTTCAAACGTCGACCGGGAGCAGGAAAGAAGCCCGCCGCTGACGAAAAATACGTCGCTATCCGAGAGCGGGAATCAGAACAAACGTGTCCATGCATATGTAGATGCGGCTGCATCTGCAATGCAGATCCGCGCGGCATCGGCGAGCCGGCCTTCGCGAAGCCGTGCGACCCGCGACCCTTCGCGATTCTTCATGAGGGGCAAATCGAAAAATTCCAGAACAACTCCGAACGGCGGCATCGATATTTTAAGAAATAAATCAAGAATAGAAAAAGCGCGCCAATACCAAGCCATTTTATTCGCGACGTAGCCGCGACTCAGCCCCGGGATACGCGTTATCCTTGAGGAGGAGGATACGACATTCGCCCCGCGCGCCGGTGTCTGCGACTTTTTCAGAGAAATTACATTCTCGAGGATTCGGGAAACGCGTCCTTCTACCTCCGAGCGGAATCACTACAGGATTAACTTTTTAATTCTCAGAAAGTTACTCCCCGAAAATCTCTCGCTCGCAACACGATGCAATTTCGTTGGAAGGAATAAATTACGCCCGCCGATTTATAATCGCGACGTAAATCCTTTTTACTTGAAACACACGTGCATTCTCGCGAAAATGGCGGGTAGGAGAGATTTAAGAGCGCGCAGCTGACTTCCATTTTCGGCCGATTATGTCTCTCTCGTTTTTTCTCTCCCCCCCCCCTCCTTCCACCCCTCCGCATCTTTCTCTCATTCTTTCTTCCTCTCTTCTCCGCAAGATCGATCCGGTCAAGTCATCGATGTTGCTCGCCTAAATCGTCGCAAGTGTGCCGGCACGAGTAAAGTAGACGCGTAAGTTTACACGCGCGGGAATAAATCGTCCGTCCGCGCAGAGGAGATTTAAAAGATCGCTACCGCCTTTCGGAATAAATCTCACTCGCACGTTCGCCCGCAAGCGTTCCCGTAAAAATATCGCACCGTGCGGATGATATTCCGCGTGAGAGGATACGAACGGTAGACGCAGCGTCTCGCGAGAACATATTCACCGAAGTGATGGTTTCGGCTCGTTTTTCTTTTTTCTTCTTTCCCTCCCTACCTGTTCCCTGGTATCCTGGTGTGAAACAAATTCGGCTGGAATTCTTTTTACGGATCGATCGATGCACTGTCGAAATGTCGATGCTAAAAATGGTAATCGTGTCACGGAAGCGAAACCAGTGATCGAGGATGCTCGTCCTCGTTCGCTCGTGGTACAATAAAGAAATTTCTAAAAACTTTGGTAACATATTCACGCGCGCGCGCGCGCGATGAGAAGGTCAGGAACGTCGAATTGGGTGACTCGATGTTTATCGTCACGACACAACACATCTTATAATACAATAATGCAGTGCGAATTCACCGTAGAAAATTCAAATGTTTTCGAATTTTTCGTTTTTTTTTGTCTCTGGCCAAATAATATATAAATGAGATACATAATTTTCGCAAAAAAATTGCGTAATTTTATTCTTTTTCAAATTTTTCGGAATTGCCTATGATGTATCCATCGCTTTACCCGCTTGCGACGTTCATAATTAAAATCCCATTGATTAATCGTGCGTAAAGCGCAACAGGAGGTAATTTCCTAGTGCTGCTAGAATTTACCGTATCTGATTCGACTCGTATTGCAATTATATAACACAACATCGCGTTAAAATGATCTCGAGTGTGAAATTAAATTCCTTTTCGTGCAATTTTCGTACAATATACAGGCGGAAAATAGATAGAGCGATGTCAAATATATCGGCTGTTATAAAAAAGTGACAGGTCAGCCTTTGCTCGTTTCGGAACCATCGCGACGAGTTCCGACGTGCGGCACAATGTTACATTTCGCTAAAATGATTTCGCGTGTGAAAAGTCGGAAAGAAGGTGTCGTAACACACGCGCGCGCACACACACACACACACACACTCTCTCTCTCTCTCTCTCTCTCTCTCTCTTTCTCTCTCTCTCTCAATGAGAGAAGCGACGTTTTCTTCTCCCAATGACATTAGCCGGGACGCCGGTGAAATACTCGGTTAAATGCTCGTAAGTGTGCCACGGGGACGAAGCTACCACACGAGTGAGAATAAATCGTCCGACTTCTGGGAACGACGATGCGAAACGAAGTAACGTGTCATCAACTGCGACCCGACTGGGACCGCCACTTCCTCCCTATAATGGAAGAAATATCTTCTGAACGTCGATATCGGGGGGATACGAAAATGGCGACACAAGAGAGTTCCTCACCTTCGGGAATGTCGGCTGTGGAATTTATATGCTCCACCCGCCGCACATCACCCCTGATAGTGCTACTAGTGTAAAAGACGACTCATGCGTATGTTGCATTTTTTCACGACCTAATATATCCGATGCTTTCTCTTTTGTTTATATATGGCTGATGGGTAAATATGCACGTTAGGTCAATCCCCTCAAAAGTTCATGACCTTGATATATGTTGTTAAGAACATGTTCCTGAGTGTTATGCAAAAAGTTGCAGCTGTCGCTCATTGTTTATTAAAAAGTTCCTAACAAAAGGAATCTGAAAAATAGAAAATTTTCCGACACCATGTATATATTGTTAAGGGTAAATATTTACCTATGGGGACCATCTCCCGATCTCAAAAATTTTAGTTGTATGTTATGTAGATCATCACTCTGAGTGATGCTGCAAGGTTTCAGCCGGCGGTCACTGTTTATTAAAACGTTATTAACAAAAAAAGTTTGGTATATACGTAAGTTGCAAGTGCGTTTAGCACGGCGCGCTTCGCGCGCCCCATCCCCACTCCCCGATATTTACTCGAAAGTGATTGAAAACAAACAATGAAGGGAAGGAGGTGAAGAGAGGCAGGTGAGATGGGGGTGGAGCGGGGGTGTGGTGGGGAGTGGGGGTGGGGCGCGCGTAGCGCGCCGTGCTAAACGCACTTGCAACTTACGTATATACCAAACTTTTTTGTTAATAACTTTTTAATAAACAATGACGGCTGCAACTTTTTGCATAATACTCAGGAACATGTCCTTAACAACATACATCAAGGTCATAAACTTTTGAGGGGGTTGACCTAATGTGCATATTTACCTGATTTTTATCAATAACAACGAGATAAATTGATTGTAACGGCGCGAGTTTGAAAAATTATCCCGATGAAACGGCGCACACGCGCGCAAATGTCGTCGCGTGCCGGCATTATTTTGGCGCGCGCCTCATAATAGACCGTATTTTTTATTTATAGTACGTCGTGATTCTTATTATAGCAACAGTCACGCGAAAGGCGAAAACAACGGGAGGGGAGCTTCTTGTGTCGCTTTGCTTCGCTCGCGACTTCGTACGCGACTGAATGACCTTGAGTCGGCCAGACGAGTTTTCTAGTCCGAAGACAGCATCTAGAGAAGTATCGATGCACATTGTGATGGAATAACGTGTACACCCGGTGGTGCGAATAATGACGCGCGGCTATTTGTAGATACGCTCCGTTTCACGCGAGAAACAGGCGGCGGCGTTTCACTAGACGCGCGCGCGAAAGAGAGAGAGAGAGAGAGAGAGAGACAGAGACGTCATACGTGAAACTATGATACTACAAAGTACACGTATCGTTCGTGTGCAAAATATAGGCTAGCTAAATAATGAGAAAATGATAAATGACCTCTTCGATACGCTTACCTCTGATACGCCCGACGCGGAAAAATGGTAGAAAATGCTCTAAAAGAAGACGCCTTGGGAATTATATATGCGCGCGCGCAGGGAGGAAGAAGGGATATAAACAAATCTATATTAAGCTCTCACAATCAATTACGAACTAATTAAAGAGTCGTGCGAAAGGATGTCGGTAGCGAAGTAACCTTTTTTGCGAGAGGATAATAACGTCGACGATATATCATAAGTACTGAAGTACTTTCTGAATCTTAAATGCATGTGGGGGACGCAACCCCATTTTTTCCCTCGTCAAAGCGACCCCATATTCCGCTCATATTTTATTTTAAATCCTCCCCTCCCCCATCCCAATTTAATGCATTGGTAATATTTCTGATGTAACTCTACCATAATTTTTCATACAACTCTAATATATCTATTATAAAAGAGGTATGAAAGAAATTGCACTCACCCTCTGCGCCTTCCGTTTGTCGGCACGTTGGTTTTGATGATATATTCTGCTGAAATTACTGACGATAACAGGTACCGGTAAAGCGATCACTAGGACACCGCTCAAGGAGCATACACCCCCCACGATTTTTCCCGCGATCGTTTTCGGAACCATGTCACCGTATCTGAAACAGACAAGAAGAAATCACTTTTAACGCAGCTGTTCCGCACACAACTTGCTTTTGATGTAATATATCGTAACATTTCGTCAAAAATCAAATATCGATACTCGCATTCGCGTTTTGATCAAGGCCTGCGAGGATCGTACGTATCTCGTAAGAGTGGCCGAACTAATGAAAGCTGCTATTTGAGGATCTCCAACTTCGACCGGAAGAGAGAGAGAGAGAGAGAGAGAGGGAGAATTGTATATCACAGCTATTACACTATAAATTCAAAATTCCAAACCTCACCGCTGCGAGAATGCCCGGAGCTCGGAATTCACGCCAATCCGGGAATTACATATTCTATAATTCTCTACATTTTGCACCTTCAAGACCTCCAAACTCGTGGGAGCTCATTTATTTCGGGTTATCGCATAATACATGCAGCTCCGAGCGAAAGGTACGCTCTCGGCGCAACAGAAAGTCATTTGCATTGTTATGAACATTGTTGGCGACGGGACGGTGGCTTAGACGGACGACCCGGTCAAATGTTCAGAAGGCATGACGGAATTATACATTCCCGACGTTATCGCCCGCGGGAGGTCGCTCGGTCGCGGGTGGCAGAAAAACGGCCGGCAACGTGGATAATTCATAGCGCGCTTGAAGAATTCAGCCGCGAAAGGTAACGTCCGTCCTCGTTTCTCAGTCGTGCGAACGTCCGCCCCGTAAAACTTTTCCGCGGCTGCGACCCCGCGCGTTCGCAATGTTAGCTGCCGACCGTTTCCCGCAAGGTTGCCCCGCAGAGTCCATGCCCTTTACATATTTACCGCGTATCGTACAGTGCAAACACACGCCGTGCCGAACAAATACGCACGAGTCCGGTTTAACTTGCCCTCGTGTGTGACGAACTCGCAATGCACTCTTGAATGTTCGCGCTCCGCTAAAATTGCGGCGGCCGCACGTGCGTGATGCAATTAGCCCCGTTTTGTCGTCTGAATGCCTAAATTTCCGCATTAATAAGTGTCGCATTTTCTTTATTTATTAATTGAAATTAGAGATTCGATCTCGTCAGATTTCCAAGACGACAGAAGAATTAAACGGTTCTAAAAGCCGACGGATTTAGAAGTCGAACGTGATGAAATTTGTAAGTTCCAAAATTATGAGGCGGGAATTCGTCTATATTTACTCGGCAAAGTAATTCTAAGCTGCATATTACTTTTTTAACAAGCATCGACGGATATATTCTTTCGGATATATGATTCTCGTGAAAAGTCTCACTCAGGCGATTTTCCGCAGCGAGTCAGTCTGATTGCAACATATCCTGAAATGCATAAGCGGTTTAAAATACTCGTCGCGAATTTGGTCCTCGGCTGATGAGCAACATCGAATCCTGTCGCGCCGGAAAATTTTTCACAAACAAAATATCTCCGACACTGACACTTTTGGAAAAGGTCTTTATCATCTTTCCGCACTTACGTATTTTGCAATTCGTCGCGCACGTCAGAACTTTCCGTCGAGTTTATTCGTGACGTCCTTCTATCCGCCGTTCGAGCGAGATGAAACCCGCACTTGCGACCGACGCGATAAGACAAGTGTCGAGAAATGAATACGGCGAGGGGGAGAAATTGGCGAGGAAATGACGCTTTTAAAGAAAATCGCGATCAACATCCGAGGATGTAATAATTTTTTGGTGTCCAATTATCGCGTGTACAAAATTGAATTGTCGTCAGTGCTTCAGACATGTTCGCGTGTGAGATCATGAGAGATATTGTTTGATGATGTAAAAATTTCAGGTGAAGAAAGATGTGGCGTCAGCCTGTACTTGTGACATTCTCCACGAAAATTCGTACGAAAAAAAAGAAATATTACCTGGGATCAGAAACAACGTTATACCGCACACAATGGCGATCGTTTATTCTGCCGACATGCCTCACTCGGGAGATCAAAAGAAGCCGGACGCACGTGAAAGGGAAAAGGCCTTAGATGGAGACGGGGATAAAATGAAGTGTAATGGATCGCACTCGACAGCAACAGATCGTTCCTTTTTCCAGCGAATTTCTCGGACCGCACGCAATTTCGGGCCGAGACGCATGAAGGGAGGCAAAAAGGCGGCTCTATTCTGCAAACGACGTGATGTGAGGCCGGGAAAAAAATGTTCCCGACAGAAGCGATCGATCACTCAATATCCTACGCGATATTATCGCAAAATCTGCCATTTATTATGTCTGGAGTAATTGGAAGAGGGGAACGTATAAACCTAAAGCACAATCCCACAATGGAACAGACTGGTTGGCTCAACTTGGAGATGTGAAAGATTTATAGCAATCTTGAAATAGGTAACAACAATTCTTTCCGCACGACATCTTACTTCAACTTTAATTTTAGAATATTTTTAAAAACGAACAAATTATAAAATCCACTTACTTTAATGAATGCACGGAAATTTGAGAGACTCGGCGATCTTAGGAAATTTGTAAATTTTCAGATTAAAGTCTGTCATTCTTACAATTCCTAATTAGAAAATTCTGTAAATACAGAATTTTGAAATTTTAAAATAGACGTTAGTGTATATTTTACCTTTTACGAAGAATCGCAAAAATTGACGCAATGGATTGCAGAAAAATCGAATAGTGAAAATGCAACAACACTAACAATGAAAACCAAATATCTGTATCGACAAATTGAAATGGTTTATTTTTAGAAGAAACGAATCACGTTTCCGTTAACCGTAAAAACGTTTCTACCGTTATTTTCGACGGTAGAAAAATGTAACGCTGATAAACATCGACGTTGTGTTTCAGGTTCTCGAACGTCAATATCAGAATTCAAATTGAAACGCGCAATCTTTACCGGTAGCATCGCTTTAATTAAGTGCAACCGTACAATGCAATTTGTACACGAATAATTACACGAACTACACGTTTACTCTGAATTATTAAGTTTCAAGCCCTCTTCTCTCGCTGAGCGTCATAACTTACGAACCGTTCTTTAAGCTTTTCATCTTTTATTTCTGTTTCGACGCCTACACGGTCGATGCTCTTCCAACGGAAGTAGAAAAAAGAGTGAAAGTCGAACCGGAATTGCGGGTCACGCGAACTTTCGCCTGAGCTCGGTTTTCCCGGCTGGCAATAATTTTCCAGCGCCCTACGGCCCCTCGGGCCCACTCCTCGACCCTGATTTACGTTTCCCACGGACTTTTACAGCGACCATGAAAACTCGTCTTGCCGAGTTCTCACCTGATGCTCGTACGCTCGTATTTCGCGCACGTGATCCGCCGCCGCCGCCGCGTGTTATCGATTTATCTCCTCCCGCTCCTCTTTCGCGCACCTGTTATTTATTTAACAAATAATAACCTTCCGTATCAATTACCTATCGATCTAACAAACGTTTCTTTCATTCGCTTCTCATTTACCCGAGGACGATATATGTCTCTCACACGGGCGAACTTGATAATTAAAGTGAGCAAGCTGGCGTATCTCCTCGATTAAATATAACGAATAAATTACGCGAATTTAATAATATATTGTTTCGCGGAAACATCAGACGCGGAAGGGTGTAGCAGCGAATTCATTACAAAAATACGAACACGCGTTGAAGTTACTTTTATCAGAGCGAGTCTCTATTATTTCTGCAAGACGCAATTCCATCGCTTATACAAATCAGAAGCATCTTATCTTAACTTCTCGAACACGTAGCTTGTGCTTAAACCGACGCGCGACTCAAGGGATTACAAATTTACAAAACATTTAGCGACTATTCGCGGATGCGGCCGCAGAATGCAAATGATTCGTTCCTTCGTAAAATCGCGCGATTAAAATAAACAAATATCGAACGCAGAAGAGAATCAGAAACGGCAGGTCGCGCGAGTTCAAGGCGAGCGGCCAGCTCGGGTCAGGCCGATGGAGACTGACTTTTCTTGTTTGTCAATGTAGTATGGGACATGGGACGCGCCAACGAGTTTAGGGAGCCGGCGAAAACGCAGGATTAGTAATCTATCTTTAGAAAAGCGCGCCTTGGGCGGCTCGCTTGAGCGACTATCTGGGATTTAGAGGTACGTCGAGTTTCGCTCGCCGGAGGTCGCACGCAACTACCTCGCATTCGTAGTTAAATTACAAACAACCTTCGTCAACGTAAACAAAAGGTTGTCTGTTATATCGTGAGCCAAAGATCACGCGGTATTAGCCTGTTAAGCCGGACCGGACGAGTCTATTAACTACTCTTCCGGCTTTCCCGATGCGAAATCCGAGAGCGCGCGCACGTGCGCCGCGGTACAGCCGCGGTGCTGATCCGAGAAATTGACCCCAATGGATCGGATTTGAGGTCAGCTCCAACTTTGACGTAGAACTCTCCGTCACATAAGAAGGAAAAAATTAAGCTACTTCCCGTCGCGTTGCGAAACAGTCTGAACCGTGGACCGATCGGGATGAAACTCACGTTACAATCTTTGGAGCGCGAAAGTTTCGCGTATTAACAAACTTCCGTACGCTGCACGTCGCCGTCGCACTCGCCGTCACCTTCGCGAACTTCCTTAACTCGTTTCGTCGTGGGAGCAGTTTCACGCGCGCATTTATAATGTACACAAATAGCCCGTAGTGAGGAAGGCGTCACGACGACGGAGCGCAGGGTGCTGCTGCACCCTCCTGTGTTTTTACGCGAGCGGCGGAAAGTTCGCCCAAAGGATGCATATAAAATTTTATGGACTGGCCTAAATGAAAATATGATCGGTACATTATGCAGCACGCGTGCAAAAATATGAGACGTTTTACGCGCGGGCGTGTGAAATATATATGATGTAACAATTGTATATTCAATTATTAAAATGTTTTATTATTAGCCATAACTTATGTATATTACTAAAAAGCATAGTGCATAAAAAATGTAAATTTTTTATCAGGCAATTATTACTTTGCGCGCGTATAAAATGAAAGACTTTTAATAATTACAGCCTGTTGAGTAAAGATGAAATAAAACTTGAAAAGAGAGATTAAAAGCTATGCGGAACTGTTTAACTCGAGCACTCACAA